GAGGACCAAGGGGGAGAAGAAGGGCGGAAATGGTGGGGGAAAGGGAGAGAGGCAAACCATGAGAGACTCTTGAATGCTGACAAAAACTGAGGACTGATGGATATGGGGAGGAGGGAGGATGGGCATGGAGGAGGGCACTTGGGGGGATGAGCACTGAGTGTTATGTGGAAACTAATTTGACAATAAACTATTTGTAAAAAAAAAAAAAAAAAAAAAAATGAGCTCAGTCTCCCCACTACATCGACAAAGCTGCTTCTGTGCCCAAGTTCTTGGTCCTAGTCATCCAAACCAAAAATAAGGATGCTTTCCGGGCCATTCCCTCATCCTCTCCCACTCCCATCCAACCTGTCACAGAGTCCTACTAATCCTTTCTCCTATTTGCATCCCTCATGCTTCCTTTCTCTATCTTTCGTCTAGTTAGGACCCTCATTTCCTCAGATGTGCAGTAATTACTAGTCTTTCTGCTCCAGTTGTGGCCTCTAATTCACCCCATGGTATATAGAAAACATAATGACCTTTTTCAAATTCAAAACTGTCCAGTCAGCCTCTGTGACTCACCTACTTATGATATGGGGAACAAAGGCAAAAGAAATGTAGATAAATTTAAATTTCCTCATAACCTGCAGCCCATTGACAAATACTTGAGACAGGAAGAGTATGGCATTTCTTCAGGAACTCTCAACTGTTTTAACGTTAATGTTTTGCTCCAAGGAAAAACAACCTTCACTTGACCTAGCTAGGCCTTCAGGATCCTGTGAGTCTTCTCCAGCATATGAAAATCTTTTTGCAAACTTCCCCTTGACTTTACCTACCCCAAGTCCCAAGTATATAGTCAGTTACTCCTCACAATCCCAGGGCAGCTCTTCTGCCTACAGGTCCTGTTGTTTGTGCTTTTGGTTCTTTTTGCACCAAAGATGTCTCAAGAATTCTTTCTTGGGCAGTGGCTCTGAAACCCAGCATTTCAACATCAATGGTTTCCTATCCTCCCAAGAGTTATCTACTCTTCCAGCTTCCAGTCTGATCTCCTGCCACTACTCATCTACCCTTCCGTATACTGGCCCAGGTCATTCCCTACAAACATCTGGCTTGTGCTATCCCCTCTGTCTGGACTGTTCATCCCAAACTGCTCATTCAGCTAACTTATACTTGTTATTTAAGATTCAATCCAGGTTTCATATCACCCCCTTTGTCTGCATGTTGTACTAAATAATCATTGAAAGTGTATTTCCAAAGCCTTCAGATCTTATCTTTCTAGAAGTTCCATTTGTTAAAAAACAAAACAAAACAAAAAAAACCTTTCAATGTAATATCACAAGAGGCTGTTACGCTAATACTAACTCTACATATGCTATACATCATCTGTATTTGCTGCTCTGTCAACTGATCCTATACTATGGACACAACTGAGATGGGCAAAACTGACATAAATATAAACATGTGTAGATGTGTATGTGTATTTTTTTCAGTTAATAGCTATTCCATATTAGTGGCTGCAATTTGGAAAAGTGGTAATGACTGAGAAGGCCTAATGGTAAAAGGGAATAAATTAGTTTTTTTAATGTTTTATTTATTTCTGGGAAAGAGAATGAGAGAGAGAGACAGCAGGAGGAGGGGAGGGTCAGAGAGTGAGGGAGACACAGAATCCGAAGCAGGTTCCAGAGTCTGAGCTGTCAGCATAGAGCCTCACATGGGGCTTGAACCCACGAACCATGAGATGATGACCTGAGCTGAAGTCAGACGCTTAACCGACTGAGCCACCCACGTGCTCCAATTAATTTTTTTAAAAAAGAGAATTATGTTTGAATTTAAGCTCCAGACCATCTGGTTTTGTAATCTAGAATAAGGAATATTCTGATGCTTAATGTCCTTATCTATAAATTGGGGATATTAGTAACTCCTTATAGAGTTGTTGTTTATTAAATATGCTTTTAATAAGCTTAATATGTGGCCTGGTACATGGCATATACATAATAATTGGTAGCTATTCTCATATTTATTAATATTGACCGGTTAAAAATGTAACAGAAGAGGGGTGCCTGGGTAGCTCAGTGGGTTAAGTGTCTGACTCTGGCTCAGGTCATGATCTCAGGGTTCATGAGACAGAGCCTGCATCAGACACTCTGCTGTTAGGATGGAGCCCACTTTGGATCTTCTGTCTCCCTCTCTCTCTGCCCCTCCCCCTGCTCACTCTCTCTTTCATTTCCCTATCATGAATCCATGCATGCTACATGAAAAGGGGAAGGTGGGCAGGTAATTTGTCTATATGCAAACTTATTTATCCTTTGCTAAGAATAAACTAAGTCTAAAAGAAGGAAAACAAGTAAGCAAATTCATTCATTAGAATCATATTTATACTTTACTAAACATTTATTCAATGAACTGTATCTCTATCCTAATTAGTGTCATTGGTAGTTACTCTGAATTGATAATATGCAAAACTTTGGCAAGAGTGTTTGACTCTCACAGACTTGTCTTCTTAGCCTAAACCTTTGCTGAGTATTGTTTCCAAATATTTACATTTATAAACATAAGCCTGAGGCTCTTACTGGGTTAACAATGTTATTATAACAGCCAGAGCTAGGGATAACAAAGACTAGGCCATGCCCTATGGCAGACCCTCAGATAGCCTAATTCCACAACAAAAGTAATGCAGGTGTTTGGCTTTTGATCTTTCTTCCTTCAAACCTTAACTGTGTGTAGGCACTCCTATAATAGTCCAGAAATTCTTCCCTTGTTAGTACACTTACCTTCATAATTAAATTTTTATGTTCCACAGACTGGCTAAAATTTGTGCCCATTTCAAATATAGTTGTGTTTCCATCCTCACACAAATTCATCCAGTAATGATATTCCTCATGTCCAGGAAGTCGATCCCAAAACGTCCTGAAGGCTTCCCAGACAGCTTCCTGACACACTGGACAACAAAAAAAGTATTTTTACAGAAAGTATTTTAATGGAAAGTACTTTGAGGTTCTCACAATGATCATGAATCTGTTTATTCAGATTCCTAGGCACTCTTGCCCACAGTGTACATTCTAGAAAAACTTAGGAATGATTCTCAAAGTTCTTCTGTTTATGTATGTCCAGTTTAAACTTCTCAGATAGGAAGAGAATGTATACTCCCCACTCCTTTCCTTTCCTTTACAGAGGGATTTAATTCACTTCCTAATAGAAATGGTTCCCCCCTCATTTCTTAAAAAAAAAAAATCCATGTTTGTGCTTTATAAAAGTGGAGATGTTGAGAATACTTACAAAGGTGAAAGAATAAACAAACTGTGGTACATCCATATGATGCAATATTATTCAGTGATAAAAAGAAATGTGGTTTCAAGCTATGAAAAGACACAGTGAAGACTTCAATGCATATTGCTAAGTAAAAGAAGCCAATCTCAAAAAGATAACATTCTGTATGATTCCAATGATATGACATTCTGGAAAAGGCCAAACTATGAAAATTGTAAAAAGATCAGTGGTTGCCATGAGTTGGGGGAAGGGAAGGGCAAAGAGGGGAAACAGTAATTTTTTAGGCAAGGAAGCCATTCTGTATGACTCTATAATAGCAGATACATGTCATTATACATTTCTCAAAACCCAGAAGACATACAACACAATGACTTAACTCTACGGAAACTATGAATTCTAATTAAGAATAATATGTCAATATTGGCTCATCAATTGTAACAAATGTGCTACACTAATACAAAATGCTAACAAGAAGAGAAAATGTGTATGTGGAAGACTGGCAGTATAGGTAACTCTTGGGACTTTCTGTTCAATTTTTTTGTAAACCTGAAATTTCTCTAAAAATTAAAATCTATTAATTAAAAAAAGATAAAAGTAGAGAACAAACAGGTGCTTGCCAGAGGGGAGGGAGAAGGGGGGAAAGAACCAAATGGGTGAAAGGGAGTGAGAGATACAGGGTTCCAGTTATGTGATGAATAAGTCATAGGAATAAAAGTCATAGTGTAAGGAATATAGTTAATGATATTGTAACAGCATTGCATGGTGACAGATTGTAGCTACACTTGTGGTAAGCATAGCATAATGTAGAAACTTGCAGAATCACTACCTTGTACACTTGAAACTAATTTATTTTCCAATTAAAATTTTTTTTTAATGTTTATTTGTTTTTGAAAGAGAGACAGCACAAGTGGGCGAGGAGGAGTAGAGAGAGAGGGGGACACAGAATTTGAAGCAGGTTCCAGGCTCTGAGCTGTCAGCACAGAGCCTGATGTGACTCAAACTCACAAACTGTGAGATCATGACCTGAGCCAAAGTCAAGATGCTCAACCAACTGAGCCACCCAGGTGCCCAACACTAATTTAATATTGTATGTCAATGACACTCAAAAATTTTTTTTCAAGATAGGAGAACTAAAAACATGATTTTCAGGAGAAATGTACTACTATATTAAAATAAAAACTAATTCAATCTATCTGTTATTCCAAGGCATCACATCTGCACATTTCATATACATTAAGTGTATTGCTATCCTGTAACCATTTCATTGGCCAAATGCCAGACACTGTAGACAATGGAGCCAGGAGGAAGAGGAAAAGAGTGCTAAGAGAGAAAGAAGGATGCAAATGCACAGAGACCAAGAACATTATTTTTCATCTCAAGAAAACTGAATGCTTATTCAGTAGCATATTGAGGTAGATATGAATCACAGAGTCAGGTCTAAATTCTAGTCCTAGCCTCATCATATACTAGCTTCATAACCACAGATATCTTACCTAGCCAGTCAGTACTTCAGTGTGCTCATCTCTCTTACTTACTTACTTACTTACTTACTTACTTATGCCAGTCAGTACTTCAATGTGCTCATCTCATTTATTCATTCATTCACTCATTCATTCATTTATTTTAGAGAGATAAGAGTGAGCAAACACGAGTTGAGGAGAGAGGGAGAGCTAGAGAATCTTAAGAAGGTTCCACACTCAGCAGAGAGCCTAACACCGGGCTCAATCCCACAATGCTGGGATCACATGAGCCAAAATCAAGAGTCTGAGGCTCAACCAACTGAACCACCTAGGTACTCCTCATCTCTTTTACTTAATTGGATAAATCATTACTGCCTTAACTACCTACCTGTGAGAATATTTTATAAATCACATAGTGCTACATGAATATCAGTGTTATAATCATAATGGATTCTGGGTGTCTGACAGTTGTTTGATGGAAGATAGTCTAAGACAAAAAATAAGCATTAAGCTTTAACAGAGAGGAAAATATATGAATATTTAAAGTTTCTCTATCAATTGATTTTTCAGGGTTAAAATGAACCTTTGTTTGCAAACTAACTTTTCTCTTCCAGTGAACTAACTGCATCCTTAAAATTGCCCTTTAGAACTTCTGATCCTACAGTATACATAAGAATCTAGCCAAGGCTGATTGAGACAGAGCTGACCACCTATAAATTCATAGTTCTTCCTTTCTTCATCTTAAAACTTCCAAATGAAAATGTAGTGCCCACCAGAAGATAACACAAAGGTGAAAGTCTGAATTGGTACAAATGAATAAAAAATGAACATTTACAAGGTCTGGTTATGAAATAAGGTAATTGAAAGGCACTATAAGAAATATTGTGAGACTGAATAACCATACAGTAAAGCCTTGCATTGCAGGTAACTTGTTCTGCAAGTGTTCTGCAAGACAAACAAGCACTTATAATAAATTTTAACTTGATTATTGAGTGATTTCTTACAATACAAGTAGTATGTGATGCCTAACATCACGTGATCACAGCTGAGCCAATGGTTCTCTCTCTCTCTCTGTTTGTGGGATTGTGGGTGATCATCTCCCATTCTCAGACACTTGGGCTCAGGCTGTGGTGTTTGGCAGAAATCAGTAATTTTTCAGACTGTTGGAAGGTGCCCACAACTGACATTGGTGTACTTTCTGTCACTTTAAAGCACCTATGGACAGTCTTTGCTTTTCCATACAAGAGTAAGCTTAGAAATGCTTTGGTTCATTCTAGATCAGGCTGCCTGCAGATATGACTGTTTCTTCTGCTGCATTACTGCCAGTTACCTTAAATACAGTATATGATAAGAGTTTATTAATACTGTACTGTAGTCAACATCTGTGCGAGCATATACAATGGTCCCTATGCAGAAAAAGATTTCATTGAACCAATAGATAGCAGTGATTCCATCAGTGATAGTTAAAGTCATCCTACACAATAATCCTCCCCTCTTTTGTCTCTCCCTCACACCAGCCACAAAGGTTTTTAAAGGTAAGTGAAGGTTAATTTGTTTATTTTTATTTCTATTTTATATTTTCTTTATTATTTTGTATTATCTTACAGTATTATAATCATTTTTATATTAACATTTTTGGCTTGTGGAATGAATCATCTAAGCTTCCATTATTTCTTATAGGGAAATATGCTTTGATAGACTAGTGCTTTGGATTACAAGCATATTTCTGGAACAAATTATTCTTACAAACCAAGGTTTTGCTGTATATCTATAAAGAAAGAAAAAAATAAATCTCAATAACTTATTTACAGTATACACAAAAAAATAGTTTGAAATATGAAAGCTAATATTGTGAAAGTCCTAAGAAAAAACACAGAAGAATATTTATATGACTTGAGGATAAGCAAAGATTTCATAGACAGGACATAGAAAGCAACAACTATAGGGATGCCAGTTGGTTGAGACTCTGACTCTTGATTTTGGCTCAGGTCATGATACCAGGGTTATGAGATTGAGCTGCGCATCTGGCTCTGCATGGAGCCTGCTTAAGATTCTCTTTCTCCCTTTGCCACTCCTCCCTGCTTGCTCTCTCTCTCTCTAAAATAAAATTTTAAAAAAGCAACAATTAGAAAAAAGAAATTGGAATTTATCAAAATTAACAACTACTCATCAAAGACACGATTAATAAAAATGGATGGGCAAAGGATATCTCTGGCAGAAAATATTCAAAATACATGACACGGAACTGGTATTTAGAATATTTAAAGAATTTCTACAACTCTCTAATAAAAAGACAAACAATCCAATTTTTAAAACACTTTACAAAGGAAGAGATACAAATAGCCAACAAATGTGTGAAAAAGTGCTATCATTCATTTTCAGAGAAATGCAAATTAAAGCATCCACACATGAATCATTAACGTTATTAAAAGAGTAGTATCTCCAACTTGATCTGATGCAATCCAATGAGAACACTGGCTGACTTCTTTATAGAAACTGATTAGCTAATTCTAAAATTAATATGGAGGGGTGCCTGGATGGCTCAGTCGGCTCAGTGTCTGACTCCTGATTTTGGCTGAGATCTTGGGATTGAGCCCCATATAGGGTTGCATCCTGAGCGTGTAGCCTGCTTGACATTCTCTTCCTCTCTCTCACTCTGTCCCTCTCCCCTGCTTGTGTTTTCATTCTCTCTAAAATAAAGAAAAATAAAATTCATATGGAATTACAATGAATCTAGAATAACCAAAACAATTTTGAAAAAGAAAAAATAGATAAATTGGACTTTATCAAAATCAGAAACTTTAATGCATGGAAGACACCATCAGGAAAGTGAAAAGACAATCCAGAGAATGAAAGAAAAATACTTGCAAATCATTTATTTGATAAGAAACTTGAATCTAGAATGAACAACTGTTACAACTCAGTAATAAAAAAAAAACAGTTAAAAACTAGGAAAGGATCTAAAGATATTTTTCAAAAGAGAATATCAAATGACAAAAAGCAAATAAAAAGATGTCCGATGTTATTAATCATTAGATGCAAATCAAAACCAGGGCATATCACTTTACTCTTACTAGGATGGTTATATTTTTTTTAAAGGAAAATCATAGTGCTGGCAAAGATGTAGAGAAATCAGAATCTTACACACTGCTGTCGGGAATGTAAGACGGTGCAGCTACTTTAGAAAACTACCTAGCAGTTCCTCATATGG